GCAGGGAACCTAATAGAATGTTCAAAATTGGGAAAGGAGTACGACAAGGCTGTATATTGTCGCAAGACGAACTTATATGCAGAATACATCATGCGAAAGGCTGGACTGGATGAATCCCAAGCCGGAATTAATACTGCCGNATAAAGGACGACAACGGCAGGGAACCTAATAGAATGTTCAAAATTGGGAAAGGAGTACGACAAGGCTGTATATTGTCGCAAGACGAACTTATATGCAGAATACATCATGCGAAAGGCTGGACTGGATGAATCCCAAGCCGGAATTAATACTGCCGGAACAAATATCAGCAACCTCAAATATGCAGATGATACCACTTTGGTGGCAGAAAGTGAGGAGGAATTAAAGGACCTCTTAATGAGGATGAAAGAGGAGAGCACAAAAACTGGTCTGTAGCTCAACATAAAAAAAAAACTAAGATCACGGCCACTGGTCCCATCATCTCCTGGCAAATAGAAGGGAAAGATATAGAAAAGCCCCTGATGATGGGAAAGTGTGAAGGCAAGAGGAGAAGGGGATGACAGAGGACGAGATGGTTGGACAGTGTCACCAAAGCTACCAGCATGAATTTGACCCAACTCCGGGAGGCAGTGGAAGACAGGAGGACCTGGTGTGCTCTGATCCATGGGGGCACTAAGAGTCGGACACAACTTGACTAAACAACAACATAGCGCTATATCAACTATGGGAAGGGAGGCACACACAGAATTTTAAAAAACCAAAACCACCTTTTTGTGGGCCATAATTCTATTCGCAAGACGAAGGGCTGAATCCATCAGTAACCAAGCTAGCTAAGGTTTCTCCTTAACGAGAGAGGCAGCGGATAAATATTTTAAACAAATAAATAAATTCGATCACACCTGTGTGCCGTTCAAAAAATTCCGCTGCACTCCATGCAGGAAGAGACACACCAAGTGTCCCACTTCTCTGAGGAGGCTCCCTGTCGCCTCCCTGTATGTGGGCACACCTCCTTCCAACCAGCCTCTTCTTCCCCCCCACCATGTAGGTGAAAATCTGGCAGGTGTAGCCGGAGCATTGAGCTATGGGAGACGGCTGGCTGAGGTTCGAAGTGGGTGGCTGGTGTGTCTCTGGAGGAGTCCCTGCACGGAGGCAGAGAGCCACCTTTCAGCGATGAGACGATGCTTGTCCCAGGTGCCTGCATGTTCCCTCCCACTGGTTAAATAAAGACACTTCTCCGAGAGCGAATGGATAGTCCAGGTTCAGCTTGGGAAGCCCATCATGGGTTGGAGGAGACCACCTTCCAGGCTCGCCCCTGGGGGCCAAAATTCTGCTAGCCACCGCCAGGAGGCGAAGGCAACCCTCTTCAGCAGCTACACGAATACACCTTTACTCCTCAGTTGCTCCATCCATTTCCAAAGGGGCTTTGCAGCCCAATAAGCGGTGCCAAGACTGGCACCCCGTACCCAAGCAAAATAAATCACCAAGAAGTTTGGAAAGGTGGCCTTGGGGGGGGGGGAAGTCTGCACACATACCCCCCCAGATCTCCACCAGGCCCCCTCCCCAGTTTTTTTCCCTACCCGCCTCTCCCCCCCAAAAAAACCTACTCACCGTCCTCCACCAGGAGAGCCCGCGCCTCGCAAGCGCGCAGGCAGTGGAGCAGCGCGCCCCGGCGCAAGCCGGTGCCCAGGAAAGCCGTCACGGCGCCCAGCTTGGCCAGGCCGATCCAGGCCCAGACGAAAGCCGGCTGGTTGCCCACCAAGAGGGCCACCACGAGCCCCTTGGGGAGGCTCTCCTCCGGCCCCCGCCGCCGCCACACCGCCTGCAGCGCGCGGGCCACGCGGTTGCTTTCCTGCTCCGCCTGGGCGTAAGTGAAGCTCCGCTCGCCATAGCGGAGGAACAGCTTGCCCGGCGGCTGGGCTCGGGCCAGCGGGCCGAAGCGTTGGGCCAGGCTCCGCGGGTCCCCGCGCAGGAGCCGTCGGCTGCAGCGCCAGGCGCGCAAGAGGAAAGCCGCGTCGGCCCACGCGTGGGGCCAGAAGACGCGCCAGGCCAGGAGAAACCCCAGCCAGAGGCTGGTGGTGGCCACCACCAGTAGACCCCCAGTGGCCCACATCCCCGGGAAGATGGAGAGACCAGAGGCGGTGGCGCGCAAAAAAAGGAGGGGGAGGCGGCCGGGGTACCAGCCGTCTCCAAGCGCTGGGGCGCACGGAGAGCTGGCGCTTGGAAGAGGAGAAGGAGGAGGCGGAGATGGAAGGAGAGGGAGGGAGTGGGAGGCGGGCGAGGGCTTCTTCAGCCAGCCAGCCCCGCCTCTGGGCTCCGAACAAGGGGGGACTCCCCCGGGCTGGGCTCTCCCCACCCCACCTGGCTGGCTTCCCCGTGCGCCCTGGCCAGGTTGGAAAGGGAACCGAGGCCAGCGCCAGTGTCAAAACAACTTGGGCACCAGCGGAGGGGGGAAGAGGCGCAGGAGGAGGACGCCTCGGGGGCCACTGGGCTCCGAAAAGAACTTCCTTTTCTTTTTTTTTTAACAGATCGATTATGAAACGAACGCTTGGCTGCGCAAAAGGGACCCCAAGTTTACCTCCGGAGGCTCCCCACGGGCCAGGCTGCGCCTCGCGTCTTCGGGGGTCGAAGAAGCCACGCTGGGACGAAAGGTGGGCATCTCCAGCCGCCTCCCAGGGTTTTCGGAGCGAGCCTTGTTTTCTCCTTCATCTTATCTCATCTCTCTCTGTTTTTACCCTTAAAAAGGACCCAGGGCCGCTGACATCATTAAAAAAGACCACGTTTTAAAGCTAAAGCAGGAGGTGTAACAAATACTGGGAAGGGTTAAACAGACAAAGACTTAAGCAAAATACATCCAAAGCCACAAGGCACAACCCTCTATTGAAGAAACCCATTCAGGCATCCGTTCACTCACTCAGGGAAAGCCTGCCTGGAAGAGAGAGGACTTGTGATGGGGCCAGCCAGTGGCAGGGAGTTCCAGAGTCTGTGAGCTTTGCTTTGCTGAAGGGCAAACGTGGCAGGCATTCGGTTGTATCTGCTTTGCTTGCAACTGCTGGGCTGACTCGCCCTCTTTGTCCATTTGGGGGTGCTTCAGGGCAAACAAGAAAATATCTTAAAATACAGTGATATGTCTGTTTTCCTTTCTTCGACCAAGGGCCAAAGGTCCCCCTATTTTGCCGAGCTGGCTTCCAGCTGGCTGTTCAATGTTCAAGTAACTTTTTTTTCGGGGGGGGGGGGGGAGATCTTAAATTTGCATGTCTAGGAATGCAGCAAAGAGAGAGGGTCTAGGACTCCGCTGCCCATCAGCCAGCCGGGGCAAAGATCAGGACCATGGGAACTGAAATGCGGCAAGATTAGAAAGACCAGGTGCTCCTCAATTCGGGGAGTGGAAAATGTTACGAACACAGCATCCGGTAACGTCTGTCTCGTAAGGTAGAGCCATAGTATTAAACCCATTTCACAGATGACAGAGGTAAACTGGAAAAGAATCCCGCAGATATGAAGGGCCGAGTTCAAATCCTGGTGTCTTGGGCCAGACCTGGGATAGCCATGAGCGTCAAGAGACTTTGGAAGGAAGGCCAGCTATGCTTTCTGCGAGGCAGGATGCGCTGGCCTACAAACCCCATCGTCCCTTAGCCGAGCTGGTTTGGGGAAGATGGGAGCTGTCATCCGACACAAGTGGGGACCATCCATTCGAGGAGACGTTTCGAGTTGAATAAACAGACCGATGCTCTTGAGTTGAGGAGAAGCTGTTTTCTGTTCAGGGCGGTTGATAATTTCATCAGCAGAAACAGAAGAAAAAATAAATAAGACATGTGATAAGGAGTTGCTTGAACAGCTTTTCAAAAGTAAACTGGAGCGGGTCGAAAGTATCTGATTTCAATCCGTGCAGCAGGACTTTAATCTTTGGCATTCCCTTGGGGCTACTGTGATGCAGAATACGGCCCACCGCCAGGCCTATATGGGCGGAAAGAACAGTCCTGTCCACACCAAGCCAAAAATCCACAGGCGGACAGTTTGGAGACCAACAGAGAGCCCTCGACAGTACGCAAGCTTCAGAGTTCTGCAGGACGCTTCATCGGGTGCTTTGGCAAGGTATTTCCCAACCACTTGGGACGATGAAGCCTTCTGTGGCAATCCCAAGTTTGCACCCAAAATTTGGAATGACCGGAAACCCGATCAGTGGGCAAAATGTTAAACAACTCCCTAATGACTGCGAACTGCGAATTTGAGTGTTCGTAAACTCGCCCGTTGATAAGCTTTAAAATGCTGTCTTTTAATGATGGAAGTCCCAGCTTGGGTCCTTTTCAAGCGCAAAATGTTAAACAACTCCCTAATGACTGTGAACTGCGAATTTGAGTGTTCATAAGTGATAAGCTTTAAATGCTGTCTTTTAATGATGGAAGTCCCGGCTTGGGTCCTTTTCAAGGAGAAAGGCTGGGTAAAAAACAATTTTAAATAAAAGAAACATTATTTGACACCAACAGGGCCTCCTATAACTTGTTCCTACTTTGCTACAGGGCAGTTTGGCCTTCCTCTTTTAACTTTTTCTTTTTTTAATCCCATAATGGAACAGGCCCGGGGCTAAACAAAACAACCTAAAAACACACACACACACACCCGTGTTAATTCTCCGTTTTGCCAATCCAAGCTGGAATTGTCAGTGCCGATTTTTAAAGAAAATCGGCAGGGTTTTCAAGTGGATTCCTCCGCCACCAAGAGCCAGGTTTTTTTCCCCTCCCTCCTTCCTCGGCCCTCCAAAAATCCAGCTCAAACTACTGTTGAAAAGTGTGTTTTTTGGGGGTTTTTTTGGCAACTGGAAAGGGCTCCTAACCTTTCCCCTACTTAAATCTCGCTGGAGTTTGTCGGTGTGGGTTGTTTCCCCCCTGGCCTTTTTTCTTGCGGCCGGGCGACTCTTCCTACCCTATGAGTTGCAGATGTTTGGAAAGGAAGCCGGGCCACTGAAAAGATACTTCTGCAACTCTTTCTGTTCCTCTTTCTTCCTCGGCTCTCCGAAAAAAAAACAACAACTCGGGAACATTCCTTCCTTCCAGGGAAGCTGGGGTTGGTGCCAAACCCACAGGCACACAAAAAAACTGGGTTACAAGCCCCTGCCTGTTGGTCAGAGCAATTTGGGGGGAAACGACAGTTCCTTATTAAAGATGAAAGAGGTACGCCCTGATTTATTTGCCGGGGGGGGGGAAGCAACATTTCGGTGGGGAGAAGAGGCACCTTTTCCGACAACTCGGGATCTTTCGTTGTCGTCTTTAGAACGGCAGAGCTGGAAGGGATTCCCGAAGGGGGGGGGGGAAGCAACATTTTGGTGGGGAGAAGAGGCACCTTTTCCAACAACTCTGGATCTTTTGTCGTCGTCATTAGAATGGCAGAGCTGGAAGGGATTCTCGGAGGATAATCGAGTCCGGCCCCAGCGGGGAATCGAACTCCCGACCTTCAGCCGGAGACCTCAACCACTAAGCAACCCCAGGCGACTGGGGAACCGGGAGGATCTCACGAATTTGTTCGTAAGGAAGGACTCGACTGAGCCGCCTGGACCTGTGATCCAAGCGTCGTAGTTGTTCTGCTCGGCAGCTCTCTTGTTGCAGACAAGAATGGTCTTACGGGGAGGCCTCCAAAGCCACCCATTTTGGTGGAAGTGAAATTACCGTCCCAGAGTAACTACAGAGAAAGAGCGGTCACTTCCACATGATTTTGCTTTCTGGGAATTATAATAATCACATCTTGGAAATCCAGATCCTCTGAAACACTGAGCCTAGCCTGTTAAGGAGGCCCCGGGGGGGGGAGGGGAATCGAACTCGTGATCCTTGGCTCACCACCTTAGATTTGGTATCAGTGACGGCTTAAATAATCTCCCTTGACGTCTCCTTCATGTCAAATGTTTGAACAAGCCTATTGTTTATTTAGGACCATTCATTTAAACAGGCGCGATACATCCTGCGATTGTTAACGAATCCTCTTGAAGCGGCTTTGTCTTATGTAAACTCTTCTGGCCTAAGCGTTAAGTCGCTTTGCTTCTAACATCTGGCTTGTTTTTTACTTTTTTTGGCCTTTTTTCCCTGCTCCCTCCAAAGTTTACCTCATCTGTCATTAGGACTACCTTACAAATTAGGGGCTTCAGCAAAATCATCAGATTTAACACCCTGCCCAGTCCTCAATACGCTGGCTTCCTGAATTCCGCTCTTAAAAATCTTTTCACGTTGGCACAAATGTTTTTGAAAAAAACACGAGATCACCTCATTCTTTCTCTGCTCTCTTTCCTTTCTCCCCGCACGGCTTCGAACCACAACGACACAGTACTAGACAAGAGCAGAGTAACCGAAACGCAGCAGAAAAGAGAAATACAAATTCGGTTTACCAAGCTGGGACGCCTCCATCGGCAGGCCAATAGACCGAGCAATGCGAGAAGTCCCCTCTAGGCCAGCTGCCAATGCACATACACACACACACAATATAACACACACGTACACGCACGCCCCGGGTTTTCATCCGACCCTCAAGCCGGTCCGCACCAAAAAAACACACAAGAGAAACCAGGTAGCTTGTACAAAAAACGGGTCGCCAGTTTTTCTTTTAATTGTCTCTTTTAAAAACCATTTAAAAATGATAATCTCTCGGAGGGTAGGCGGGGGATTAAAAATATAATTACCATCTCCTCTCGTTTGTCCCTCCACCCACCCAACCCCCGAGCCCCCACGCCACCCAAGGGGACGTTGCCCCGGACCTCTTTCCAGAGCTGGCCTGGAGCGTTTTGGGGTGAAAGGGGGGTGGTGGTTCTGGTATGGATTTCGTATTTTAAGGAAGAGCGCGGCGGGGTTAGGGGGTAAGGCGGCCAATCCTTTCCAGCCGAGATGGTGTGTGCTGTGTGGGTTGAGGACATGGCAGAAAACCGAGCCTCCGGGAGACAGGAATACGGAGGGTGTGTGTGTGTGTGTTTGGGTGTGTGGGTGTGTTTGAGGTGTGTCCGCTTCCTGGCAAGCTCTCTCCTCTATGGATTAAAAAACGGCTCAAATCTGTCCCCTTCGGTTGGGAAAAGTCTGAGCAGGGCAGAAGGACAGGCGCCAAGTTAGAAAACGGTTTTTGCGTTATGGCAAGAAGAAAGGGAGAGAAAGGGCAATTTGGCTCCCCTCCAAAAAGCTCCCCCCCAATCCCTGGGTCTCCCCACAAGGCTCCCGCACGTGCCCCCCCACCGAGAACTCCCCAGCTGCAGACACCCACAGAGGAACGTGGCAGTTCACATGATTTATTTACATTTTTCCGGGAGGAGCGGCGTGCGAGAGGGGAGGCGGTACGGTCCTCCCCGGCCCTGATCGCATCGCGAGGGTCTTTCCCGCCAGCTACGATGGTCCTGGGGGGGGCGCGGATGTACGTCGCCAGGAGACAGGCCTGTTCTTCTGCGGCGGGCACCGTTTGGAAGATGGGAGAGACCAGGAGGGAGGAAGGCAGTGCCCGCATCGGAGCGTGGATCTCACGGGTCGGGAGAGGAGGGAGGGGGCCTAGACAGTACTGCTGCGGAGGGGCGAAGAGGGGGGTTATCTGAACATCCGCTGGTGTGTCGCTTATCCCTCGCTGTCGACGGAACGCATCCCGCTGCTCTTAGTCCGTTCTCTCTGTTGTTGTGGCCACGATGGAGCCTGTCGGCGTGGCGGGGAGAGAGCGCCAGGCTTCCACCACTGGCTCTCCGCTCCCCCCTGCCGGCCCCTCCAGCGCCCCCCTCCTCAGTCACTGTCCGAGCCCACCGCCGAGGAGCCTTTCCGCTTCCGTTTCGTTGGTTTGGGTTTCGTGTCTTCCTCCTCCTACGGGCCGAGAAAGAGAGAGAAAGGGGGGGGCGACGTTTATTGACATATTTCGAACCTGCTGGGTGTTGACAGATCTTGGAGGGCGATCAAACGAGGTTTGGTTAACTTCTAAAACTTCCAGTTCATTTATCGAGATGTTTAGGCGTTGATCAAGAAGTCCGAGAACCCTGATCAACATTCTCGATCAACAGATGAAGGTCTCGATAAATGAGTCACGAAGTCTGAGAAATATCTAAAACGGTCCGAGCATGTCTGGTTGGCAAAGGAGAGGCAGGAGGGCTGAAAACTGAACAAACGGATGGATGACACCCACCCACCCATCGTCTTTCTACCATTAGGCCTCTCCGGCTGGGCGCTAGCTGACGTTCTTCACTTTGAGCAGAGCTGGCGACAGGAGCAGGGGAAGTGCAGTCCAGCGCACACAAAGGATGCCTAATCTGGCAAAGCTGGCATCACTCCCCCCCCCAAAGGACTCACCGAGGCGCTGCTGGAGGCCGACTCCTCCTCGTTGTTGGCCGGCTGGGCGGCGTTCTTCCGGCTGCGGGGGCTGGAGAGGGTGGCTTTCCGCCGGCTTTTAGGGGGCTTGCTGGAGGAGTCTTCGTACTCCTCGGCCAGGGAGAAAAGGTCGCTGAACCTGTGGGGCGGCGGGGGGGGGCGAAGAGAAATCGCTGACGTGATGCGAGGAGGGGTGTCAAATCATACTCCTTATTTCGGGGGTGGGGGGACATCCATAGTGTGATGATCTCACCACCTGCCTCTCGGTCGCCCAGAGAGCACCACCCAAAATGGGTGGCTTTGGATGTCTCCCCGTAAGACCATCCCTGTCTGTGGCAAGAGAGGGCACCGTGATACGAACTCCCCCCCTTTCTTCTGAGCTGCTCAACAGAACTTCCTATTCCACTTTGGTCTTGAGCCGAGGCCTTCCTGGCCAGTGTGCTTTTGACCCCAATCGCCTCCCCCTGCCCCCCCCAAACGTCCGGCGAGCGCCGCGCTTACTTCATTTTGTGGGCCTCGTCGCAGCTGGCCTGGACGTGCTGCAGGGCCTGGAGGATCGGGGTTTGGCTGAAAACTGCCAAGGAAGGACGAAGGGGAAGAAGAGAAGGTCAGAAGGGAAGCCGTCTCAAGACCTATTGGGGCCTTTGGTGTGGAAAACTGGTTCCTAAAACCCACCTATGTCCTCAGGACTTGCAAAGGAGAGAAGGTCTCGCTACGAAGAAGTCAAGCCGAGGGGCTTTGTAAATATCTGCCTCCCGCAAGATTGTGATTGAAAGGCACGCTTTTATTAGAGGCGAGCAGATCGGCTGGAGAGCTCAGTGGCTTAGGAAACTGGTTGGGGAGTCAGAGGTTATGAGTTCGAATCCCCCACGGAGCCTCCTTGGCAGGGGTTGGACTGGATGATCTAGAGAGTCCCTTCCAACTCTCCAATTCTAAAGTGACGATGAGTGTCCTTGGACTAGGAGTCCCAAAATGCCCCTGACCCCAAGACAAGGGCCCAGACTACCTGGGAGGGGAGACAGCTGTGGGGTTTTTAACGCGCGACGCCATACGTACAGTTCTGTTTCGTGTTGGTGAGGTTCAGGCGCAGGTTGTCTAGATGTTCCAGAATCTGTTCCAAGGTTAACTGGGCCAGTTTGCTACTGGAACTGCGTAGGCTGCAGGGAAGAGGAAAGGAAACGAGAGAGAAAGAGAAGTTAAGACAAAGCAAGACGAGCAGGCGATACTGTATTTTGATCCTCTGGACACTCTTCTTGAACTCCGAACGTTCTCCCTCCAGGAATATGTGCTGGCTTTTCTCTTCCATTCCGGTTTCCTAAAAAAAATTCAAGGGGCTAGTCCTCACTGAGGACACAAGTTTGAAGTTACACAGCGGAGAAGTGGGAAGGGACAGGAAAGGTCCACAACTGGCTAAACTGGATCAGCTCAGACGGGAGGGTCAAAAGGGAGGGTCAGGGCAGCTGCTGGAATTAGCCAGGCGTGGGGAAGGACACGGAACATGGCACGTGATGTTCATGTAGTTAGGTTCTCAGAAACACCTGGTTCTGGGAGGAAAGAGGGAGATCAGGAAGGTCCTATGCCCAACAGGGCAACCGGCAGATGGGAGTTGTAGTCCAGGATGAGGACACCAGGGATCCTTCTAAGGCCACACATCTGTTACCAAGAGCCACCGAATCCGTGGCATTATTCCCTGCCGACTAAGCCATGGTAGGGAAGGGGGAACCGGTGACTTTCCAAGTCAGGCGGAACTACGACTCCCAGGACCCGCACGGACCACAAGAGCTGATGGCCTGGCTTTGATCTGTGGACTCGTCCCTCTTCCGTGACCAAAAGAGGACACGGAGACGTTTCTTAAGTTCTTAAATAACTCCGATTCCATGCGTTTGCTCTGGGCATCGGGAGGCTGGGCTCGGTGGCCGGAGCGGTCGACCGGGCCACCGCTAGGGGGCCTACGTGATCTGTGAAAGAAGGCAGGATGAATCCTCCTCTATTTGCTAGTGGCCGAGGGCAGAGAGAGAGAGACAGATCAGGCTGAGAAACTGAAAATCTTCCCCACTCCCATTGAAAACTCTTGCTTCTTGAAAAGCTCACCACCCTTTCCTTGAGACAAGCAGGACCTTGAGGCTCTTCGTGCTCCAAATTTCCTAAAACTGGAAGAGGAAGCAGCTCTCGCGCCCACCCACAAAGAGACGCCGAGCCTCTCGGAAAAGCAGCCCCCCCCCCCCGGGCCCAGATCCTCCATCCTGGGATTTTAGCTGTCAACCCTATGGCGTCAACATTCGACCGATGGAGGGATCTTAAAAGCGGGGAGGGGAAAAAAGCCCTCCACGGGGGGTGGGGGGGCTAGGAATCACCAGACTATCAGAAAGGAAGGAAGAAAAAGAAGCAAATTTGAGGAACAGAGCCAATAACTAAGCATTACATGCCGGGAACCTTAACAGAACCCTCCTTATTTTACGAAATGAATCTGACTTTCATACGGAGGATAAACCAGACACCGTTTTGTCCCAGGCAACAAAAATCAAAGGATCACCTCTGTAGGGGAGACCGTGGGGATGACCCCTGTTTCTTTGAAACCCTCGCCAGTAGAAACCTAGCATCTCAGACTTGCTTTTTTCCCTGACCTGCTGCCTTTCTAGAAGCAAAGATGTGTGTTTACCTGAAACATGTAAACGTTTCCCTGCAGTTGGAACCTAACACAAGTAGCCGCGTGAGTTCCGGGCGTTTAATTGTCTTCAGTATTACAGAAGGAACAAGTGGATTTGGTGCAGTTTTTCTAAACAGCTGTCATTCAGTTACTGTATTCCCAGTAACCTCCACCATAATCTCCTTCTGCCTCCAGAGAGTGTTCGGCTTCGATGCGATCGAAGACCCTCTTCGCTCGTCTTTCCGGCTGTCCTGGAGATTCGCCACGCTCTCCTCCAGCCCCACCTTTCAAACCCATCAGCCTTCTCCTCCCCGCATCAGCTTTCGCACCCATACCCTCGTGAAGGCGAAAAACGGATTGGACTGAAGGCTAGACTAGTCTGGGAAGGGGGGGGAGTGTCTGCAGAACCTCCAAGGGGCCTGACTCCCAGCCTCTACAGCCTAAGCGCTGGAGAAATTTCAACCCGCTAACTCTCCTGGAGGCACAAATCGGACGGCGCGTGCGTTAACGCAAAGGAGCCCGGACTGAGGAAGTGAAGGAACTGCCTGGATCCTCTCCGTTCCCTTTCTTTGCCTGCTCGCCGTCACAAATCTACCCCGGTTCCTCCCCCCCAGCCCCCAAGACGCCAGCTCACCTTTGACGCTTCCGAGGCAGGCTGTTGTTCTTGATCAGAAGCGACTTGATGTGCTCGGCCAAGAGGTCATCATACTTAAGGCACCAGTGCCGGAGGATGCTGGTGGTGAACTGGTCGTCCGGGTGGCAAGGCCGGCTCAGCACCATCTTCACCATCTCTTCGCTGGGCCTGCGGCGGGGCGAGACACACACACACACACACACACTGTTGAAGAGAGCAACTTTTCAGGCAACGGAGCGGGGTTATTGAGAGAAACAACTTTTAAAGGCGATCCGTTTCCTAAAACGGGCGCCAGGATGAGGAGGGCGTCATTGGCTGAGCCGAATTGCCACGGATTAAAAATTTTCCGGTATGTGTGTGAGTTTCGGACTAGAACGGCCTTGAACGGGCACCTGCGGACCTCCTGGAACCTCTTGAAAGACCCCGTTCGATCGTGTCTGAGTGACGAACACGGTTCTCTTCGCCTCCCCATCCTCTGCTATTTTGAGACCCGGTGGATGTGTTATGGCTTGCGCGTTAACTGCCGTTGAGCCCTGGATGGCTTTCTTCTCCGGCTCTAAGCTATTTTCAGGATATATGTAGCCCCTTGGGATTCCGGAAAGACTGGACGATCGTTCCCGGAGACGGTTTGTGCCCCGACACGCCAACCCTCTCCAGCTCGTAGCAGATGGTTCTTGTTATGTTTTGTTCGCTGATCGTAACCGTGTGGCCTAATTCACTTGAATCGGTGCCCCTTATTAAACCAGGAGCGCCAATATTTGAGAGCCACTCCGTGCACCAGTTATGGGCACCCCAAAAACTGCCACTTCTGTGTCCATCATCACCCATATTCTGCATTTAGACGTTGACTTTTCCCTCCCTTGTTTAGGGTTAGCCAACCACACCTCCGCGGTAACAAGAAACGCGGCTGTTTTCTCTTCACGACTGATTTTTATCCACCAAAGATTGGCACCAGGTCCCTCTCTATGCCGTTGCAAAAAATCCATTCCAACCTCCCCTTTCGCGTGAGTTCGGACCCAAAGGAGGTCAAAGTCTGTTTCTGGAAGTCGTGAGGACTAGTAACTTAAAAAGGGAAATGACATAAAATATAGAAAAGCATCTCGGGGAGCTTAAGGGTAAAACAGAAAGCTGCGTCCCACAGAGGTGTGAATAATAGATACAGTCCTGCTTAAAACCGTCCCCTTTTTCTCGCCCCTGCTCCCCATACGATTTGGCCTGGAATGCTGACAGCTTTTCCCCTAAGGCTATTCTGCAACTCTGACGCCAGCCACCAGTTAAGATAAAAAATGCAGGAAAAACTCAAATACGTACTTCTCCCGCCTCAGCTGGAGCAGCAAGCAGGAAAGCGCCTCGGGGTGTTCTGTAACAGAAAGCAAGGTTCATTAGTGGGGGGCTTCGTTAAGTTATTACTTTTTTTTAAAAAAAGAGAGAAAGTGCCATTTATTTCCAGGGCACCGGCAGAGAGAGACGACGCCGTCCTCTCCCCTGAAAGCTGCTGAAATCGGGATGCGGCTCGGAAGACAGCAGAGCCCTGAAGGTTTCACGATGCGAAGCGTAAGAACAAGAGAGAAAACTAGCCTGTGTCAGCTGGAATCCTTTCCTGACTGCTCAGCTTTCTGCTTGCAGGGAGAAAGAGTTTGTGCACGAGAGAATGGCAGGCTAAAAAAGCTACTCTCGGGAGCTCTCTGCCACGGATTGCGCTGGCTGAAAGATTTCTGGGTGTAATTTCCCCAGGTTACTTACAAAGAGAAACATTCAGATTTGGTTAATGGGGCTACACCACATCAGATGTAATTTTTCATGTCGACGGACATGAAAAACGAGCACCCGCAGGCAGAAAGCTAGCATCTGACCCATCACCTTGACATGCTGGAGCTCTACACAAGGGGAGGATTTAATTTCCTCTTGATCCGGGGCCGTATTTTGCTCCCCACTCCAGGGAGGCGTTTTTATTGAAGCAGCAGGCGCTCGGCCATTGTCTGAAAAATCAGATTTAAGCGGGCAAAGGCTGCAGAAATGGACCACCGTGCTCCTTTAATGCCTTCTGCCTTTGAAACAAGAATCAGTGGGGCAGAGTGGCTAGATGCCTGGATTCGGGACTCTGGCGGACCCGGGTTCAAATCCCCGCAGAGAACCTAAAAATTCCATAGGCGAGCTTAAGCTCTTCTCTCGCACGGTACGAATGACCTCATGGGGCTGTTTGGTGTGGAAGGGCATACCCCTGCTGGAGATCTTTGGAAACATGTGGGATACGGATATAATAAATAAACCGATAAGAATAAATGAATGAATGGGACATCACGAAGACCCACCTATGCTCTAACTGGGCACAGACCCAACTGAATGAATAATTCTTTAAAGTACCCCATTCTTATACCTCACCTTTATACTTCAGATGCTGAAGGATGGGGATAATGGTCTCCAGAGGTATATTATGGGCCAGGAAAAGTTGCCAGGTGCCGTACTGCTCAAACGTCTCCCACTCCAAGCTCTGAACTGAAGGTGTGCAAAGAGGGGGGAGGAAAAGAGGGTCATAAGAAACTCTGAACGAGAAGCACGGAGAAAGCGGGGTGGGGGGGAAAAGATGAATTGCAACAACACCACGCCCCCAATGCAGGCGTGATTCTTCTGCAGGTTGGGATGGAGAGGGTTTGAAGTTTTAAAAAAATTATGGAAAGTTTTTGGCTGGCCTGCAAAAAGCAGCCGGGGAGACTATAGGTGGCCTGCAGACCTCTGAATTAGTCTGTCTGTCTTTCTGTCTATTGATCTATCTATCTTCCTTCCTTCCCTCCCT